TCTCCATTTGTGGAAGAAACAGCAGCTAAAATGATGCTCTAGAGAAGAAATCACAAAGGAGAACTTTTTGTAGAAGATAGGGCTGTGAATGGGGGCCAGCTGTCAGCCATCTAGTGGATCCTTACATTAGTGGCCGGCATGCCACTAATAGTGGCGGCCGTCCACTTGTAGGCCTGGCAGTTTTGGCAGTCTAGTTTTGTCTTCATCTTTGTGTTGTATGGTCTTTTTTTGCTTTTGGTTTTAACAAGTGTGCATAGCTATGTTTAGTTTGTTTTCACTTTGTTAATCAAGTTGCATGTTGTATTTTGGTTGTTGGTTGGCTCATTACCTGATTAAGAACATTGTTTCAATCAAGCATTCTCGTTGCAAACTCAATTCCATTTTCATTTTTTATGCAAATATGGTGCTCACGATGCAAAAGCAAAAACTCTTTTCATAAAATTGCGGGGTTTTTATTCCGATCATAGTTTTTACAAAAAGGAGTACTAGTTTTCGAAAGCAAAAGTAAAACCCATCTGAAGCTATACATGTGCTAAGCTACCAAACTGAAAGAAACTAGGAAAAAAGTACAAAAATTGGTGCCAGTCATCTCAAGCTTGAGAGGCCCTATTCGTCCTCTTCGTCAGAAGGGACTTAGGGGCATTATCTTTGTTGCCACCGCTGTCAAAATCAAACTCTGAGCCAGAGTCGGTATCATCATCTCCGCTCCCTGCCTCAAAGCCAACCTCGGTGTCATCTCTACTCTCTGATCCCGAGCCAGCATCATCGTCCCCACTCTCAGACTTAGAGCGTTGACTCGCTGCCCCCTCGGAGTCACTGGTCTCGGCATCATCATCACTCAAAACGGGCTCCGAGGGACTGCTCTAGAGTTGAGCACCCCTGTCCTTGCCTTGACCTCGACGCTCATCTCGGCCATATGTTGGGGCCTGTCTAACTCTCATTCCTGCAGCTGGAGGAGGTGTTGCTAGGTGCTGCCACTACTACCGGTACCCTTGGTATAGATGGAATCTGAAAAAAATAGGTGTCAACATATTAGATACAGTGTGTGTATTGTTGCAGGACGTTGTATATAGAATGAAAGTCATGTAGAAACCAGATATAGTATGAGTACAGTGTGCCAAGGTAGTGTATCAGTGTGGGGGTGGTATGCATACTACAGTGGGAGTGCCAATATATCAGTGGGAATCTAATAGTGTGGTGCACAACAGAGTTAGCAATGAAATGCATGCCAAAATAGAGGAAAATACCTGAATACCATGGAGACCAAGTAGCATCTCTCTCCTCTGTACCATGCCGATCAGAGAAGCAACCAGCTCGGGGAGGCCCTCTGTATACTCTGTGGGTGCCTACAAGTGCATTTAAATGATCAATATCTAGAATAATCAGTTCTGCAAAGGAAAGTGTGGGTTGTAAGCTGTAAAGTGTGGTCCATACCTAAGGTGTACCTCGAGTTTTGACATACCCATGCCTTGCCTCTGCTGGCTCGATCGAAATCTGGTAGGTTGTCCTAGTCGACCACCACCATATAAGTACAATGGGAATCGCTGGCTAACTGGCAACCTGCGCAATGGGAGGAGTCCCTCCAATACCAGCCTCAGCCTTCCGAGCCTCACTTGCCAAGGGAGCACTTGCTGCCTCACCCGCGCAAACTCCACGCAAGGGCGGCATGAGATAAGTCTGGATGAAAGTTACATAGTCGCCCCCTACTCTAAAGAAGTTGGCATCTAGTCCCACCATGGACTGAATAATCACCTCAACTAGAAGGCTATCTGCTATCCTCATGGATGCTGGGGGTGACATGGGAACAACCAGATCAAGGAAGCCTATGGTCTGGCATACAAATCGCTCACTCAAGAACTAGGCCCGGCGGGATAGGCCCTCTAGCAAGATCCAATACCAGGAGGTTCCCTAAGCCTGACATACTAATCTCTAACTCCAGCTAGCATCGTTGCCCAGGGCTGCCAGGTGATCTACAAGTAGAGGATGTGGGAGTTGTTATGTTGCTGCTGTTGTTAGGATGAATCAGAACAGTACTGAGAAGAAAACAAAAATGACTACGAATTTCAGATTACCTCTCGGGCAACCACCGTATCAAAGTACCAGCTATAGAAGGTGAAGGTCGTATCGTTGCGGCTTTGGTGTCGACACCGGCCGTCATATCGCTGTGAGTAAAGCACAATAGGAGAAATCTTATCCACTACCTCGGGAGCAAGAGTCAAGAAGTAAGCGCAAACCCACAACTGCAAGAAAATCTTAGTAGTATTGTTAAGAATGCATGAACATATATAGAAAGTGCAAAGCAGAAAGCACAGTGCATGGACAAATATTGAATAGAGATAAAGCAGGAAATGTAAAGCAGAAAACATAAGTAACAGAATTGAAGGTGCAGTGCATACCTCCCAAGCTCTCTAGTAGCCTTTAACCCGCTCTCCCCTCATATGGGAAGTGGAACTCATATAGCCATAGAGGGTGGCAAGGCCAACTCCACCCTAGTTGTAAAATAGGACCCGAGGCAAAGTCACAAGGGCGCTCAGTAAGTACAACCACATGGTGTTCTATTTGTTCGTAAATAGGGTGTTATCAAGGAGAAACATCAAGAAGCCCTTGGCATACTGCTTTATCTCCTCTTGTGTCTCGAGCTGACTCCCGTGGAACTACTCAGAGAACCAACTATAACTGACCATGGCTGCCCTGTATAGGGGTGGGCTCGCTCTAAGCAGATAAGTCTAGGCCGCCTCCAACTCACTTATATACAAGTCAAACGGGATCGGATCACCCCCTACCCCCAAGCCTGTGATCATCGCGAAGTCGTAGTGGGTTATCGTCATCTCCCCAATGGAAGAAAAGTGGAAGGAGTTGGTGGTGTCCCATCACCTCTCCACCAATGCTCCGAGTAGGGCCCGACTAGCCATATGCCGTGAGAGACCAGTGTAGAATAAACTAAAGCCGACCATTTCAATAAGGTCACGAACCCCGGCAGGGAGATCGTAGTACCAATCCTTGGCTGTCACTGTTCCGTAACCCCTGCAAGAGCGGAGTCTTCCTGTGGCAAGAAAAGAGTAAATCAGATGAAAGATAGTAATAAAAGGCAGTGTAAGAAATACAGTTAAAGGAAATGCAGGAAAGCATGAAATTAGAATTCGTACCTGAGTAGCACTGTAGGAAATATGAGAGTCCGACTCCCTCAGGAAAATCTCCCCCGGTACGCCATCAGCAAAATCACCGAAGCACCTGATGCCTTCAGGCGGTAGCATGTGTGTGCGAGGATCGTAGGTGACCAAATCAAAGGGTCTCACTCGCAGTGGTAGTGGCTTAGGCTTGAGCCCAGGAGCAAATGCTGCCTCGAAATCAGTGACAATATCTTTCGCCACCCTGCTAGCGTCGGCACCCATCGACTCCTTAATTTCAGCTAGGGGTGAAAGTGCAGGTATAACCTCAGGAGGAGTGTCATCATGAGGAATATCATTCGCCATCTGAAAAGTGGGTGAAAAAATGGAGAAAATGAAGAAAAAAGAGGGAAAACTTGGAAAAAGTCAACCCTAGGAAAGAGAAAATGGGAGAAAAAGTCAAAACCCAGGAAAGTTCACAACACCTGCGAGAAACTCAAGGGGAACAAGCCTAAAGTGGTGAAAACTCAAGAAAAGCAACGAAAACAAAATCTAATTGGTTCAAAGTGTAGAGGATCAAGGGTGTTTTACAAAAAAAGTTTGTGTGGGGTGTTGGAAAACGCGTGCAAAGCATGGATCTAGAGAGAAGAAGCACCTAGAGAGGTAGAGGGAGTGATTTCGAGCTTGGGGTTATGAGTAAATGAGGCTTGGAGGTGTATTTAGGAAGACTCAAGGAAAAATCCCAATTCTGCCCCCGAATTGCCACTAGTGGCCCACTATTAGTGGCCGGCAACCCTCATTAGTGGCTGGTAGGGCTCCCTTGTGGTCGCAGCCTTCTCTTGTGGCCTGGTGCTAGTTTTGATCGTATTTTTCCTAACAGGGCATGGGAGGTTCTCTTTTGGGTCCAAACTGAGCTCGAAACTGTGTTCCGATTGCACCGTTTCAATGCCCCCAACACTCCAGCATGCAAATGTGCCCCAATTTCAAAGGTGAACAAGGTGTATCCCTTTGATCATTGTGCAAAGTTTACGCGAGGTAAGTCGGAGGCTGTTGTCGAGCATCGCTTTTGCTCATTTTGTTGATTTACATATTTGTTAAGTTCTTTTGCATACAACACGCACTCTCACATGCTCACCATTTTGCATAAATCGTGCCTACGTTTTGAACATGTTTTCATTTGCATAGAACATGCTTTCATGTCGGTTGTCTATAAGCTTATGAAGAACATGTGTAGTCACTACATTGATTTTGCTTTTCAATTTTGTTCACATTGTGCATCTATCGTACACGCCCACATTGTGCATCTATTGCTCAATCTCATTCCTCTTTGCATTTATTGCTTTTATCTCAAGACGCGTCAAATGCGACCCTGAGCTATTTTGATTGTATCTCAGGACACATGAAATATGACCTTGAGTAGTTTTGCTCTTATCTCATGATGCGTGAAATGCAACCCTTAGCAGTTTTGGTTTATCTCAGGACGTGTATAACATGGATACTAGTTATCATTTATTACTTTTTTGTTTTTACTCCTTAAGCTTCTATGTTTCAACGTCTAGATGCCATTACTCATGGAGGGATGTAGAGGTTTCGAATGCATTATTTTGTGTATTTTCTAGAGATTGTCTCGTCTGTGTAATTTCCATATAGTCTATACGTTTTAATTCCTCTGTACTTATTCTTGGTGGTTGGCAGCTGAGGCTTATTAGCTTGACAACGCTCTGAACATGTTAAATGTTTTCAAGAGAATGAATTTTTGATTGTGATCTCTACCGTGAATCCTTTTTTATATTGTTGACATAGCATTTTGTCTTTATGATTAGTTTCTCTTAATTCAATATAGTGTTATGTTACAAGCTTTGACCTCTCATTATATAGTTTTCTCTAATAGGTTTTCTTGGCTACTGATGGTGGCCATTTAGTGTACCTAGAAATTGGTGATGGGATATTGACAGAAGTGAAACATGCACAATTGGAGTATGATATATCATGCCTTGATATAAATCCCATTGGTGAAAATCCCAACTACAGTCAGCTAGCTGCGGTGGGAATGTGGACTGATATGTGTTAGAATATTTTCTCTACCTAACTTGAATCTCATTACAAAGGAAAATTTGGGGGGAGAGATTATACCACGCTCTGTTCTTTTATGTTCGTTTGAAGGGGTATGTTTTATTCGTAAGCTTTATGGGCCTTTGTGTTCTGTATTTATCTTAATTTGCATGCATGCAGATTGTTTGTGATAGGGAATGCAGGATTTTCTATTATAGATTCAGAATGCTCTACAACTGCAATATATGCAAATGGCACACGTTCTAGACTTGGTCTTCCATTATAAATCACTTAAATTTTTGAATCTTTGATCCCTTTTGTTTTAGCATTGTTTTGAACCATAATAATGTGGACCAATTTGGCATTTAGATTCCTGAAAAATGAAGCTGGATGGCTTTGGAACTGAGCGTGTGCCACTTTCGTTAACATGTTAATTGTAAAATATATCTACGCAGTTTATCCTTACTTCATGCCCCCAATGGTTGATTTCTTTTCAGATATCTTATTTGCTATGTGCACTTGGAGATGGTCATCACTTTTTATTGAACATGAGCACTGGGGAGTTGACAGATAGGAAAAAGGTGTCCCTTCGGACCCCACCTATAACACTCCGCACTTTCTCATCAAAGATGAAATATCCTGCATTATGATCATTCTCGTGGCTTTCTTCAACTAAGATGCTCTGCCTTTGTTTCATCTGCATGAATCTGTTTTTCATGCTGACTTGGATTTATTTTTCCTTGAAAATTTATTTTGGTGTCAAGAAAGTAAAAACTCAAGTCGCATTGATTGCAAACAATTAGTATTCTGTCAAGTTGCTTTTTTTCTTTTGTTGCAATATTTTATATACCTTGTTCAGTAATACTCTCATTCATGTATTGGTAATACTCATGTATATATCCTAACATATACACTCGTAAATAGCTTTGAAGAGGTGTTTTCTGTCGTCTATAATTTATATTAAAAATAACCCACTATAGTGTGCTCTCATTTCTATATGCTATGAAACACTCCATTTTTGTTGCCGTAGTAGTGTGTAACACATGTCAGACAAGACACCACTCAGACATGTGTCGGACATGCCATGTGGCATTTATATTAATTTTTTTAGTGGACATGTTAGAGGACACGTCAAGGACACATGTCCTATTTCTGGACACACCACAGGACATGTTTTGGGATTTATTATAATTCTGGAAAGGTGGTTTGGTAGAGTGATGTACTAATTTGAAAACAAGTGGGTGGGATATGAAAAAAGGAAAAGAAAAGAAGAGAATGATCATAAGGCTAGGCATTTCATCATGTTCACTTCTTGTGTCTTTAATCTGACCCCTGTTTAGTTCATACTTTCTTTTTTCCCCTCATATATGCTTGTTCATACTTAGTTCTTGGGATGTAAAATCTGGGTGTTTTTTTCATGTTAAAGTAGTGTTATCAGTGTTTGTGTCTGTGCCCGTGCTTTTTAGTCAATGTGGTTATCTCATAAACAAATGCTTATCATTTCATTTTCATGCATTTGAATTGTTCCAGTCGAGAGAGTACACAACAACAACAACATGTAGACCAGAACAATGCTTCCATGGAATTGATCAATAGTGTGATTGGCACTGATGAGGAGAGTCGGTCTCGGCAACGGATTCTTACATTTGCTGCCAGGAGGTAGTCATTGATTTTGAATTATGAATTATCAGCTTGTTTGGCATTACTTGTACCTTTGTTTCTTTTCAAATTTTATAATAAGACGTTGAGTTGTATGCTTCTAGAATATCACACAAAAATTATGGCAAAGAAGTAAATTATGACAAAAATACATGTTTATAAGCAAAGCCTATTGAACTCTCTGTACTGTGATAAAATATTTTTTCTACTTTTCAACTGGTTGAAGGTTCATAAAATTGTGAAATCGTCAAAAATAGTGGATCTACTGTTATTGAAGGTGGTAAGCTTTTTACTTTTAACTTTTAAAATGTAGCTGTTCAGTGTTGATCTTTGCTTCCAAACATAATCTCAAACCTTAACCCGATTGTTTTTGTTGCACTGGATGTGTTTCACAGAGCCTCGTCTTCTGTTGAATTTTTTAATACGCCTTCAGTCATTGTCGTTTTCAAGATTAACGAGTGGGGGATTGTTGCCCAACTATCTTTTTGGAAAGATACATCGGCATACCGTTTTCTTTCTTTTCGGCTTTTCTCTGTCGCTTCTTCTTCTTCTTCCTCTTTATAACAAACGTCTTCTTTCTCTTATGAGAACATGTTAGGTAAGTCATACACGAGAGACAAGGTAAATAATATAAGCACTTTGATGAACACAAGCTTTAAGCAAACTCCAAAGATAACCTTAATTAATTTACAACTCTTTTGTTTTCTGTATCGGAGTGAAAATTTGTGGTTCATGGGAATAGCTATGTAACCCTCCAGAAATAAAATAAAAACAAAACTAGTACAGCCAACTACAAATTTGACGGGACAAAAGAACAGCCTCCTCCATTGTCAATAGTTCAGAAGAAGATTCATCATCAATGACCTTTCTTAGTTTAATCTCTTCATCCTTCTTGTAAGCTGCTCCGGAGACATTCACACAGTTAATGTTCTTGCCTTAAAAGAACATTACACAGCCATGACTATCATATGACTGACCATATTTTCTGCATTGTACAAATATGGCTCCACATATATCCATTAATTATCTCTGTAACCAGGAAGTCATATGGCAAAGTCACAAAGTTGTCAAGAAAATACATATATATATATACAAAGTTGTTGGAATACGCTATAAATATAAAAGACAAATTATGTGGACATATCCACAAACAAAAAATAACAAAAGCTACTGGTTTCTTACATTTCCCTCAAGAAAAGACTGACAAACCATACATTAGAAAGGAAAAAGCTCTAAATTAAGTGCATAAGTTGACATACAATTGAGATGAGCGCCAAAATTAACCTATTGAGCTTTCCACTTTCTCTACATAACCCTTCCCCAATTTAGAAAGGCTCTACTTCAACTTTGAATGTGTAAGGATGAAGATAATTGTGCTTTGTGCTGAGAAGAACAAGATAATTGGCTATAGCTAATAGGTATCAAGAAGCTTTGATGTGTAAATACAATGAGAGATACATGTTTTTAAAGTTAACATGATTTTATTTTCCAAAATCTAAAATTGTAATTCAACTATATATATGCAGGTTTGTGAGTGAAACTGCACACGCCAAACCAAAAAAGAACTAAGAAGGATATACACGTGTTTTTATGAATGTGATTTATCACAAGCTCATATCTGCATGTCCACGTGAGGACATTTGGGGCAAAAACATTGTTGAATTTCTTTTAATCATTAGTATGCATAATATTAAACAGCAGTCTATGGATTTGCTTAAGCATGATTTATGGTTTTGTAGTTTGAGTCTCTTTATTGTTCTTTACTTATTTGAAGCTTTACGATGTATGGGGTTTCTTCAATTTTATTTACCATCACTTCAACGCATCTCCATTTCCGTAACCTCTATTGCTTGCAGATTCGAACTTTAGGAATGCTAAGGTCCAAATTTCAATCATTGCCTGTTGCTTTTAATGCCTGTTTAATTCCGGAGGAAAAGAGTGAGCCAACAAAAAAGAAAGGACTGCTGAAGTCCACTTTTTCTCGGAACTTTGCTCAGGTTATTTCATTTGCTACTCTCTAGAAAATATGGAAATTCCTTTCCTTTAATTTTATTTATCTAATAAATTTTTTCAGATCCCATCAAGCAATGAAAAAGCAGCAGCAAGATTTGCTCAGTTATGGAACATAATAATCAGCAGTTTTAGAGAGAGGATCTTATAAGTGATAGGTAATCATGGGTCTGAAACTTTGCACAATAATACACACCTATTTTTTTTATGTTGTTTGACTCCTACGATCTAACCTTTTTTTGTGTCCTAACATGTGTTGAGAAATTTTTTATTTTTTTTTCTTCTGATTCTTATTGTATTCTGCTATAGTATGTACAACTTTGTATCATTTCCAGGGAAATGGACCTGTTGCTTGTTCCATATTGGGCTGACCGTGAGTTGGACCACATACAATGGCCTCCATTTTTGTTTGCTAGCAAGGTTTGTCACACGGTTCAAATTTGTTTAAAATGGAAGTGTTGCGAAATTCCCAATTGGAAGTGTTGCGAAAATGGAAGTATTGTAATAGTATATAACATGATATCCAATTTTATTTATTTATTTATTTATTCAATAAATTTGACCTAAGAGCAAATAGATATAAGTTAATATTCAAAGAATCAATTGAGAAAATAATGAAAGCTTGTCAATAAAAAAAAGTAATGAGAGTTTGAAAAAAGAAAAAGACAGAGAGAAGTAAGGTCATTTTAACCTTGAGAGCAACTCAAGTCTTGTAGAACTTGAAAATTGGACATTCAAAACATGTCAATCTAAGACTTTTGCTAAATTTTTATTTATTTATTTATTTTTGGGGTGCGAATTTAATTGCTAAAAAAAGAAAATAGAGAAAAATAGCCTAATACAAAATTTATAATATAAAAAAAAAGCAACGGTCGTAATGGTTTTGTAACGGGGACTACAGCCTTTACATAACAGTGGTGGCTATTACGGCTGTGAATTTCTATCACACCACTATAGCGGCCATAACGGGTGGTGGTAACCATTGAAACCATTATGTACGGTTACGGTTGCGTTTTAAAAACATGTTTGAGAATAATTTTGATCATTCGAAGTAGAGAAATTCTACAGGGACAGGCAAGTGTATCATTGGATTGGCTTGCAAAGATAGGGAATTTTTTTGCAGAAGGTCTCGAGTAGCTGCTTTCTGATTCACTTAATAAACTTATTCTCTGATGATCAGTGGGTGGAAGCAACGTGCAAGTCTCTGGTCATTGTAGTTGTGATGGAATCTTTGAGAACATACTAAACTTTGTCTCAAGGGTAACACGATTTAACATAATTTTCTGATGACTATATATGTCTTTTGGCTAGATCCCAATAGCGTTGGACATGGCTAAGGACAACAATGGAAAGGATAAAGAGCTGAAAAAGAGGATTGAAGCTGACGACCATGTCATGTGCTGTTCGTGAGTGCTATGCTTCATTTCAAAACATTATTAAGATTTTGGTTCAGGGTGGTCGCGAAAAAGAGTAAGTTTTATTACATTCTTATAATTTTGATTGAGAAATGGATATACATAGTACATATTGATGCTTTGTTATATCATAATGCTTTATTTGTCCAAATAGCCTTTCCAGGGTTATAGAATATATATTAACTAAGGTTGACAAACATATAGAAGAAGGCAAGCTATTAATTGAATACAATATGGGTGGTCTTCCTAGCCTCTATGACCACTTCGTCAAGCTTATCAAGTTCTTGGTATGTATTTGCAATATCATGGCAGTTGTTTTATGTGACTCGTTAATGGGATTTATGAAGTGTTCACACTGATTTAGTTTCATTTCTGCAGTTAGAGAATAAGCAGACAGACAGGGATCAGGTTGTGATTCTTTTCCAAGACATGCCGGAGGTTGTGACAAGAGACATAATGATGGAAGATCATATAAATAGGTGAAGCATTTTGATGTGATTGCTCCTGATTTTATACTAGTGACTTGATGCCATCTGATGTTGGTTACATTTTTTCTTCAACAGCTTGGTAGATTCTATCCATGGTGGATCAGGACATGAGGGGATGGTCCCCCTTGAATATCAATTATTTGCATCTGCTGGAGCAATAAATTTTTCGGTTCAAGAAACAGAAGCTTGGAAAAAGAAGGTGATTGGTGATATCATAATGACAAATTTTAATTCCAAACTGTTTACCTATTGATTCATCCTCCTGTCTCCCCCCTCCCCCTCTCCAAAAAAATAAAAATAAAAGTAGTACCTGTTAACTTTGATGCATTTCTGCAGATCAAACGGCTCGATCTATTGCTTATAGTGAAGGAGGCTGCAATGGACGTACCATCAAACCTAGAAGCTCGAAGGCGCATTTCAGTTTTCTTAAATTCATTGTTTATGGACATGCCTTCAGCACTTAAAGTCCGCAATATGCTTTCCTTCTCGTAAGTTTTTCGAGTTCTTTTGCATGTGACCTTAGTTTTCCTTGAATGTGTGTGTTGTATATGCTTGATTTGTTGGTCGTGTACTTGTTTGTATTTTGTACTCTTATTGTAATTTTCAAAACTAAGCACTGAGGGGTCATTCGGGAAGTGACTTTTTGTCTAAAATATGTTTGGGAATGACTTTTTGACTTCTTACAAAAAGATATGCAAGAAGTGGAGTGAATTGAAAGAAATCTTTGACGTTTTTGTATGAGTTGAGATTTTTTTAGCTTTTGGGATTTTCTAGTGGCTTTTTTACTTTTAATCTAAAATATTAACTACCCAAATGAGGCCTAAATATTTTCTACAATGTGTGGCCTAGCAGTGAAACCTCTGAAGCCCCTGTAAGAATGCATGTTTCTTCTGTACAAAGACTAGGTGCTGTATGCTATTATCTGCTATTATGAATCTTTTTCTCGTTTGTTATTGATAATCAATTTCTTTTGTATGTGTTGCGGTGATGTTTCTCCTAGTGTTTCGACGCCTTATTACTCGGAAGAGGTGCTATTCTCTCTGCATGAATTGGAAATGCAAAATGAAGATGGGGTTTCCATCCCTTTTTACCTGCAGAAAATTTTTCTTGGTTAGATTTTCATATGGGCAACATTGGTGGATTGTGTTTTTTTAATAGGCATTTCAAGCATTTTTTGTTTTTTTGGTGGTATCAAATTGATCATGCAAATGAATGGAACAACTTTCTTGAGCGAGTAAAGCACGACAATGAAGAAGAATTTAAAGGATCGGATGAACTTGAAGAAGACAAATTAGAAAAACTACGCCTTTGGGCATCATATAGAGGCCAAATATTGACTAGGACTGGTAAGCTGTTTGTTTTAGTGTGTGGACGTGCTCAGATGCATGTCTGCATGTGTTTTTTCATTGGTTGTCTGTGTATGTGGCGAGAGTGTTCTGTAGCACCAAGATCTTACTATTAGCACATCCTTTCATTTTTCATTGTACTGATACATTATTACAAATGCCAGTAAGAGGCATGATGTATTACCGGAAAGCTTTGGAACTTCAGGCCTTCCTTGATATGGCCAAGGATGAAGGTACTTGCTCGTCCATTTGGAGAATTTGGGATCATTGATGTTACGCAGCTTTTCGCTTTGGTGTTAATAAAAATGCTAGTATTCTTTTTATTTGAATGAAAAAATTGTTATACATCAAGATACTCTGAATGCACGTTTGTTACTTGATGACTACCCATGATCAGATTTAATGGAAGGCTACAAGGCTGTTGAATTAAATATGGAGGATTAGATTAAAGGAGAAAGGTCATTGTGGGCACAATGTCAAGCAGTGGCCGATATGAAGCTTACATACGTGGTCTCATGTCAGCAATATGGGATTGACAAACAATCTGGAAATCCTCGTGCACAAGACATTTTAAGGGTTATGACAACGTATGTGTTCCGGTATAGTCTTTTGTGGATTTGGTGATTGTCATAATTTTCCATTGTCATATTTCCTTGTCACAGGTATCCATCTCTTCGTGTAGCTTACATTGATGAGGTTGAAGAACCCAACAAAGATGCATCTAAAAAAATTAACCAGAAGGTTTACTATTTTGAGATAGTGAAGGCTGCTTTGCCTAAGTCTGCTAATTCTTCAGAGGCAGTACATAATTTGGATCAGGTAAAAAGTAAGGCTTTCTTTTAAAACAGACTTTGGATCAATAGTTTTAAATTTAATAGGAGATAAGATAGTCTCAACCAAATACTACTCTACTTGATAGTGCTTAGATTGCTTACTGAGGTCATGAGATTTGCTGGAATTGATCGGAGGCATTGTCACTCCTGTAACTGATATTTACCACACCATTCTTCAACCACACTCTCTGATATGGTGAAAATGAATTACAAAGTAAATAAACCATGAATTTGTGACAAGTTATTTACTTGAAAGTGTTGCCACCCAAAATCGCTTGGAAGAATCTATTGTTGCACATAAATAACTACTATGCTCTCATAAGGCACACTTGAAAATGATATAGATTTCCACATGTAATTAATTTGAGTCTCTTCCCAAAGAATAATGCTTCTTCATCTTTAATTCTATTGGTTTGCTGCTGCTACTAGTCTGCTGGTGTGCTGCTGCTAGTGTGCTGCTGCAGAATTTTGCTGGGCTGCTGCTGCTGTAGTAATGTTGCTGTGAAGCGGGCTGCTACTAGATTCTGGTCTGCTACAAATTTGGGTTGTTGTTAGTTTCATGTTTTCATTTTGTTATCTGCTGTTTTTACTATGGGTTCACAATTTGGATGTATTTAAGTATTTTAGTGAGTTTACCCTTTTAGGTTTTATACAACACTTCCAAAAGCATATTTTTCAACAGTGTTTTTTTGCCTACACATCAACTTTAGGTGATTTAATATCAATGTTATTAGTTTGTAATAGTAGTACCTAAGGGATGCATCTTGTAAATATGTAAATCTTATAAAAAAATATATATGATTTTCAATTTTTTTTGCTGCTACAAATTTGTCGTTGCCAAAAAGTAAAGTTTTCTTGACAAACAACTTGTCGGTAAATGTGTAGCTAAAAGTTTATTTTTGCCAACTCATATTGTGTTGCTAAAAGTGTATTTTTTGCCAATGCCAATTTTTCGTTGCCAAAACTAAAGCTTTATTGACAACCAAATCGTTGGCAAATGGCAACATTGACCGACATAAATGTGTCGCTAAAAGTTACTTTTGTCCACTCATATTGTGTTGGTAAAAGTATATTTTTTGCCAATGCCAATTTGTCATTGCCAAAAGTATAGCTTTAGCGACAAACAAATCGTCGGCAAATGGCAACATTTACCGACGTAAATGTGTCGCCAAAAGTTTACTTTTGCCGACGCATATGTTGTTGCTCAAAGTATATTTTTTGCCGATGCAAATTTGTGTCGCGAAAAGTGTTACACAATCATCATATTTGAATGACTTTTACCGACGCAAGGTAAATTACCGATGATGGATGAAGGCTTTTATCGACGACTATGTTCGTCGCTAAAGGCATTACTTTTACCAACACAATGATAAACTTTTGCCAACTCACTTTTGCCTACGGGTTAAACTTTCACCATCCTCAAAGAGTTTCAACCTCTTCCTAATAGATTTTTCATTGCCTATAAAAATGCAGCCCTCCTTCAATCCAATTCATTCCAATTTTCGTTACCTTCTCTGCATATATTTTGCATACTTGGTGTTTGATTGAGAGTGCGAAGCATAGGTTTTGGTTCGTTAGGCAAGTTTATTGTAGTGCTTCTTCAACTTGCGAATGTCATTTTATTTTGAGAAATAGACGTTAGCCAAAGAAAAATATTTTACTCATTTTTATAATAGGTTAGAAATCTTAATTATTTATTGTAATTATTTTATTTTTTATAAGAATTATCTATGACTTATCTATTTTTTGCAGGATCAATTTGATTTACAAGGAGACCCTGTTGATATAGAGAAGGCAATGAACACAAAATTTGGTCTGAGATTGAGTAACCATACCTATAGGCTGCACAAACAATTCATGGAGCTGAAGGAGGCTAAAGGGGAGGAGTATGCAAGAAACCACCCACCAAAGAATGTCGATCCTACCAAGTGGATAGATCTTATTGATAAAAAGTGGAACACTAAAGAATTTCTGGTAACATTTTCATATTTTTTATTATATTAGCGAAGAAAGAATTTGATTAGAATAGGGAGAGATTCTAAAACAACTAGAAAGAACATAATCAATTTGTTGTGAAATTCCATATGTATTCGTTTCCCTTTATCTTCTAGGCATGTAAGTGGAACATAATAAAAACCAAATAAGTGGAAAAATGAGAAAGGGAAACTATTAAACATGGATTGGAAGGCTCGCATAATAGGAGATTAATTTATGGTTCGTTAAAGTGCATCTTTCACATCATAGAATAAAGAACTAAGATTTCAGTTTCTATGATTGTATTAATTTTCTGTTTGTTCTTGGGTTTGGTCTGAAGTTTCATGATAATGGTAAGCAACTAGCTAAGTAACTAATATAGGGTATTGAGACAGAACTTTAGATTTGATAAAGTTGTGGAAGAAAGAAAGGGTTATGAGTTTGGTATCAGTAATTGTTCCATATCTTGTGAAATGTAAATAGATTTTTTCACAATCTATCTTGCCCATGCTTATATGTCCCCTATTTGTGAACGGTGTAAATTACTCGTTTTTCTTTTTTCACCTAGAAAAATTATCTTATGATGAAATCTCAACAAGTCCTCTAATCTATTTTTCACAGAATTGAATGAAACTAGTGAATAATTTGAAATATCTTTTAAGTTGAAATGATATATAGGAAAATGATAGAGAGGAACAATGCAATTTCTTTATTATCAACCATTAAATTTGTTTTACTAGTGATACATTTCATTGTTATATTAGTTCATTATTCCTTACAGGAACAATCAAAAGCCAACATATTTGTCTTACTAATGATACATTTCATTGTTTTATTGGTCATTCTTCCTTATAGGAACAATCAAAGGCCAACATCGCGCACAGAGAAAGGATGTATACAAAACATAGGTGTGGTTCTAGGTCAATCCCTGTTAGAGTAGAAAAATTGGTACGTATCATTGCACTTTCAAAATTATATTAGATTCTTAGCTTTATTTATTAAATATTTGGCCTATCGAATTAGGCACGAGAAAAGAAGATGCTACCTGATCTAGTAGAGTTGTACAAGCAAACTCACTATAATGAGTAAACACATGAGTGGATCTCATCTCAAGCACAGTGTAATTATGGAGTATATATTGCCATTTTTATTAACAAAATTTTAGAATACTATTTGTTGTAATCTTATTTAATTTTCTAATAATTATTTAATTTTTTTTATATTTGATAGGAAAATATGATACAGACACAAGCTGATCACCTCTCACAGTCGGGATCAACCCCTTTGACTGCAGAAGAGCTATCAATCAAAGTCCTAAAGCCAAGGTCTGGCTATGTGAAGGGACTTGGCATGAGACCTTCATTGTCTATTAGGAGAGCCACTACCATATATGCTGAAACAAATGATTACGTGAAGCGCCTTGAGATGCAAATAGAGACACAAAAGGAACAAATACAAATGCAGAACAATAAAATAGAAGATCTTGAAGAGGGTAAGACGAAGCAAGGGGAGATAATGGCTGATGTTGTCAACTTTTTGAGGACCAAAGGATTCACTGGACACTTTGGAAGTGGAGGGAACTCATTCACAAGTGGACATACTTCTTGGTAAAGTATATTAACTTTAATATAACAAATTTTATAAAAGAATACATGTTTGAAGAATTAGGAAGTAATGGAAACATGCATATGACATCCAATTTGTACAGGTGCACATGATGTATAAATTGTGAATTAGTCTAAAAAATATATTTTTTTCTCTATACTTAAAGCTTGAAAAAAGGCTGTCGAAATGCTAAATTATCACACAATTACAGATTCGTACAAGAACCAATAGAAACACCTTAGGAGGGACCAATATAAGTTGTATGAACTTACGGCACATTAATGAGATGCACCATTTGTGAATTAGCCTTAAAATTAATTTTTTGTTCTCATAATCTAAAAAAAAGTCTGTTACAGGGATAAATTGTATAATTGATCTAATTGTTAATTGATGAGTTACTAATGTTTTTAATCTTTTGTATAATTGATTTATTACTAAAACTTTTAATTTATTTTTTTGCAGATTGGATTGAGGTTGCATTTTTGACGTGCAACAATGATGTAATTTGTTTGAATGTTCATTTTTGTTTGATAAGGATACACATATAGTTACACTAGTTATTGTTGGATTTTTGGTGGAATTGAACAAGTTATAACTTTTGGATATTTTGTGGATATTTTACTATTTTATTATATCAGGATGAAATTATTTGTAATGATGAATGTATATTTTCATTTTGTTAATTCGTAAATGTGTTGATAACAGGTTAGGTTAAGTTGTGATGGAATTGTTATATTCAACAGGTTTCAACATGAACAGGGTCATATTTGTTGAACTAAAATTTAGATTTTGATAAAATAGGTATATAATGTGGAAAAAAATATTATGAAATTATCGACAAAATTTTTCATCCCTAAAGAAGGTTTTTTTGTCTCTTGTTTGGCTTAGGTGGATGATTTATTTTGTCATAAATTCTTTATTTCGTCGCTAAATGAATTTGTCATGACAAAAAATATTGTCACATTTTGTCACTATTACCCTCAATGTGTGACAAATTTTTTTTGACATTATTTCATCATTTTTAATGATGAATTTGTTTTTATCTCTATTGGTAGCTTCTTTGACAAAAAATTTTCGTCTTCGTTTATATTAACGTGACAAAATTATTTTGTCTCCATTTCTTATATTTATGACAAAATACTTTTGTCTCTAATTTCTCCTTTAATGACAAAACATTTTGTCACTAATTACTTATAAGTATGTTCCTAACAGAGTGTATTGGAGACAAAAAAAATTTGTCACAAATTTATCATTTTTAATGATGAATTTGTTTTTGTCTCTATTGGTAGCTTCTTTAACAAATTTTTTTTTGTCTTCGTTTATATTAAACGTGACAAAATTATTTCGTCTCTATTTCTTATATTTATGACAAAATACTTTTGTTTCTAATTTCTTCTTTAATGACAAAATATTTTTTCGTTAATTACTTGCAAGTATGTTCCCAACAGAGTGTATTGGAGACAAAAAATTTCGTCACAAATTTATCATTTTTAATGATGAATTTGTTTTTGTCTCTATTGGTAGCTTCTTTGACAAAAAATTCCCGTCTTCGTTTTTATTAAACGTGACAAAATTATTTCGTCTCTATTTCTTATATTTATGACGAAATACTTTTGTCTCTAATTTCCTCTTTAATGACAAAATATTTTGTCGCTAATTACTTACAAGTATGTTCCCAACAAAGTGTATTGGAGACAAAAAAAATTCGTCACAAATTTATCATTTTCAATGACGAATTTTTTTTTTCGTCTCTAAGACCCTTTAGCGACGACCCTTTGGAGACAAAATGGGTGACGAAAAATGTTCGTCGTAATTAGTTTGGGTGACGAAATATATACATTTTGGGACAAATTTGCTTCGTCTTTAAATCCCAAATTTGTTGTAGTGTTCTCTAACTTCTCCATCATAATTCCATACTCCATAACTCCATCATAATAAAAATAGTAAAAAACTCATTTCCTTTTTGTTGCCCCCACAAGTGGAAAATTTTATAATGACAATCACATCAACAAATAAATAAAATAAATAAAAATAAAAAGATCAAAGCCATAAAAACTTATATAGACCACATATTTCATGTTTTGCTGGTTCTCAAATTTAAGTGTGAAAATGATAGATCCAAAAATGAGTGTAAAATGGAAAACTCTAATCCTCGTACTTGTACACCTAATATTTGGTCCCAATATAAATGCAGTAGATGATGTTACTGGATTCGCATCCAATTAGCCTCACAAGTGGAAAATTTTATAATGGCAATCACATCAACAAATAAATAAAATAAATAAAAATAAAAAGATCAAAGCCATAAAAACTTATATAGACCACATATTTCATGTTTTGCTGGTTCTCAAATTTAAGTGTGAAAATGATAGATCCAAAAATGAGTGTAAAATGGAAAACTCTAATCCTCGTACTTGTACACCTAATATTTGGTCCCAATATAAATGCAGTAGATGATGTTACTGGATTCGCATCATCCAATTAGCCCCACAAGTGGAAAATTTTATAATGACAACCACATCAACAAATAAATAAAATAAATAAAAAAAAACTTATATAGACCATATATTTTTTTTATTTAATTTCCAAATAGATCGTTAAGGTATAGTGGTTTCTTTAATGAACTTCTATTTTTAATTTTATGGAACTTCCATTTTTATTTTTATTCAGCTTCCAATTTTATACAAGTTATTTTTCTATTCAACTTCCTTTTTAATTTAATTTCCAAATTGATCGTTAAGGTGTAGTGGCTTCTTGAATGAACTTCCATTTTTATTTTTATTTAAATTCCTTTCTTATTCAAGTTTCTCTTCTATTCAACTTCCTTTTTTATTTAATTTCCAAATAGATCGTTAAGGTATAGTGGTTTCTTTAATGAATTTCTATTTTTAATTTTATGGAACTTCCATTTTTATTTTTATTCAGCTTCCAATTTTATACAAGTTATTTTTCTATTCAACTTCATTTTTTATTTAATTTCCAAATAGATCGTTAAGGTATAGTGGTTTCTTTAATGAACTTCCATTTTTAATTTTAGTGCACTTCCATTTTTATTTTTATTCTGCTTCTAATTTTATACAAGTTATTTTTCTATTCAACTTCCTTTTTTGTTTAATTTCCAAATTGATGGTTAAGGTGTAGTGGCTTCTTTAATGAACTTCATTTTTAATTTTATGGAACTTCCATTTTTATTTTTATTCAGTTTCAATTTTATACAAGTTATTTTTCTATTCAACTTCCTTTTTTATTTAATTTCCAAATAGATCGTTATGGTATAGTGGTTTCTTTAATGAACTTCCATTTTTAATTTTAGGGAACTTACATTTTTATTTTTATTCTGCTTCCAATTTTATACAAGTTATTTTTCAATTCAACTTCCTTTTTAATTTAATTTCCAAATTGATCGTTAAGGTGTAGTGGCTTCTTGAATGAACTTCCATTTTTAATTTTCTGCAACTTCCATTTTTATTTTTATTTAAATTCCTTTTTTATTCAAGTTATTTTTCTATTCAACTTCCTTTTTTATTTAATTTCCAAATAGTTCATTAAGGTATAGTAATTTCTGGATTGAACTTCTATTTTTAATTTTCTACAACTTCCATTTTTATTTTTATTCAACTTCCATTTTTATTCAATTTACTTTTCTATTAAACTTCCTTTTTTATTTAATTTCCAAATATATCGTTAAGGTATAGTGGTTTCTTGAACGAACCTCCATTTTTAATTTTCTGCAAATTCCATTTTTATTTTTATTCGACTTCCATTTTTAATCAAGTTATTTTTCTATTCAGCTTCCTTTTTTGTTTAATTTCCAAATAGATCGTTAAGGTATAGTGGTTTCTTTAATGAACTTCGATTTGTAATTTTCTGCAACTTCCATTTTTATTTTTATTTAAGTTTCTTTTTTGTTTTGGTTTCTTTTCTATTCAATTTCCTTTTTTATTTAATTTCAAAATAGATCGTTAAGGTGTAGTGGTTTCTGGATTGAACTTCCATTTTTAATTTTCTGCAACTTCCATTCTTATTCAATTTACTTTTCTATTAAACTTCCTTTTTTATTTAATTTCCAAATATATCGTTAAGGTATAGTGGTTTCTTGAATGAACTTCCATTTTTAATTTTCTGTAACTTCCATTTTTATTTCTATTCAACTTCTTTTTTCCTTCAAGTTTTTTTTTAGTCAACTTCCTTTTTTATTTAATTTCAAAATAGATCGTTATGGTACAGTGGTTTCTGGATTGAACTTCCATTTTATGCTACCTCAATTTTTATTTTTATTCGACTTCCATTTTTTTTTCAAGTCATTTTTCTATTCAACTTCCTTTTTTATTTAATTTCCAAATAAATCATTAAGGTATAGTGGTTTCTCGAACGAACTTCCAATTTTAATGTTCAGTAACTTCCATTTTTATTTCTATTCAACTTCTTTTTTCCTTCAAGTTTTTTTTTATTCAACTTCCTTTTTTATTTAATTTCCAAATAGATCGTTAAGGTACAGTGGTTTCTGGA